CGCGCAGAGGGGCGGCTGGAGCGCGCCTTGGTCCGTCTCCTCCTGGCGTGAAGCGTGTACTTTGCGTTGTGTTTCCCTCCCTAAAAGCTACTTTTGTACACGCAGCAGTCCCGCATGCAAGGGGGTAAAGTCCCCGGTCTCCATAGCCAGGAGTCTCCCTGGGAATGTCCAGCACTCGGGTCTGTGTGGACAATCATGGACATGGTGCCCTGGGCTGTGAGGAGAGCTGTGAGCCTGTGCCTGTTGGGAGGGTTCAGCTCCCTGCCCCATATACTCCAGCGGGAGTCGGCTGCTAGCTGCAGGATCGTGGTTTAATTGTACTTGAATTAGGTCCTGGTTTTGTTTAATCGTTGATATGGAGTTAAGCTTAACGGGTATGTCCAGCTCCTGGTAAAAGCATTTCACCTGTTGGCCTTCTGCTAATGCTGTTATTGAAAGGTGGGGGAGAAAGTATGTTTTAGTTGTCTTACTATCTAAAAATCAGTACTGTTCTGCTGCAGGTGGTGTAAGCACAGAGGTATTGTTGATTGCTGGCAGGTGCTTCATGTATTTAAATGACGTTTCAGAGAGAGAACTTTGAAAACTGAAGAAGAAATTAGTAACTTTTGATTCATGTTTTAACAGATGGCTAGATTAAATCTGATCAATGTTATTTTGACCAGATAAGGATTTTGATGAAAAAGAGCTAAGAAAAATCGATGCGTGCAAACTAACCAAATAGATTAAAAGAGTAATTGACTTGTAATTAAAACTTTTTAGTAATAGATAGTGAACACCTCTCTGAATCCTCAGTTGGCCCTGAAAGAAAACATCAGAGTACGGCACGTGGTTTGTTTTCAGGCAGAATTAATAATTCAAAATCTGTGCAGCTCTTTCTTGTGTGCTGTCCTATGTGAGGAAGACTTCAAACTATGTCTTCTGCTCTGAATAACAGTGCATATAAATAGTGTCTCTTAATGGATTAATGCTAACTACTGATATTTTTTCCTTTTTTTTTTGAAATGAGTTTTTCTGTTTATTTCAATCTTCTGTTTTTGACAAGTAATTATTTCCTATAGGTCAGCTGTGTCCTGGGGAACCTTAAAACAAGAAGTCATCTAGAAACACAGACAATGGGAAAAGATTGATCTTTACTTGAGAGTATTTTTTAGGGTGTGGTTTTAAGAATTGCTTTGGATAAAAATCTTCCCCTTTTCCTTATGACTTTGAAACCATCGTTCTTCAATATGACTTTTTTCCCTCTAGGCTTTTATCAGGAAAAGAAAAAAAAGCAGTTTTACTTTAGGCTGTATTAAACAAAGTAAATAAGGGGGTAAACACTTTAAATGAAGAGGTTTGGTAGAAAAATGTGAATGTGCTTTGTAGACGTGCTTACGGGGAAGCAGAATTGCTTCTGTCTTTCCCTGATCTTATCACACAACTTCCTAGAGGTGCAGGTCATTCTGTGCTGTGTCATTTTGATAAGTGGCATTTGCTGCCTTGCTTTTATGTGTAGGGGGTTGGTGCTGTAGTGCTTTGCTTGTGCTATTCAAAACACTGAGATTATTTTGAAAACACTTTTAAAATGGTTTAAAAATTGTTATAGCTGTTACTTTCTCTCTTTTGCTGATGCGTCTATGTTATAGCTGTAGAAGCTATTGAGGTCAGTGTAAGACTATCACTTTGTAATTTGACCTCGGAAGGGGTACAAGCAGTAGTGCTTTGGTTTAGGTGTGCCTCCGTTGCTCGCACAAGCACTGTGGGTTCGCCCCTGTGAATACTGATGCACTTTACTCCATGGTTTTGTCTTGAAGGCTGGTGGAGCTGCTGGCGTCTGTGTCGACTTGATCCTTTTTCCCCTGGATACTGTGAAAACCAGACTGCAGAGTCCCCAAGGATTTAGGAAGGCTGGTGGCTTTCGTGGCATCTATGCTGGTGTTCCTTCCACTGCTATAGGATCCTTTCCAAATGGTAAATTTTCTTTGGGTTGTGCTTCAAGTGGGAATTTACGTAGTGTAGGACGTTCATGTCCGTGGCTTCCACTCCTGCAGGTGACTGCTTGGAGTCTGTGAGTGCATGTCCAGCTGTGAAGAGCCGTTTCTAGGATTGTACAGTATTGAATGAACTCCTTGAGCAAGCCTGGGATGAAGGCTGCTGGATGTTTGCTCTGAAAATCAATCCTTACTCCTTGAAGCATTTCTGGATATGTCTTATAAGCCTGCCCTTACTTAGAGGGGCACCCTAAGGCATTTCCAGGTGCCAAAGAGGGCTTGAGTCTTGCTTTGGACCCTTGTCATGACCCACTTTCTGACAGTATTGGAAACTAATCAAAATTCTAAATGCTTGAGCACTGGAGGTCTTTAAGCTGATTGCCCTGGGGATGCTATGCCTGTCTGTTTCTCCCTGGAAACAACTACAACACTTAAAATGAGGGGACATCAGGAATAGTTTTGATAGAGAAACTTTAAAAAAGAAAAAAGTAAACAATTATAGTCCCTGCAGAGAAAAGGCATCTAAGATTCCTAATGCCTTTGTCCATTTTGTCTTTGCAGGGAGAGATAAAACAGTAGCAAGCTATGCTGTCAGTAGTAAATGTGAGGAGGACTTTGCCAATAAATCCACTGACACCTTCAGATGTTTGATGTCCTTCATAAGATGATATAAAATAATTCAGTTCTTTATCTTGTCTGCTCTGTTATCTCCTTTTGAGGTGATAAACATCTTTTGATTAGCAGGAGGCAATTCACACAGCCCTTCTTTACAATTAAAATCTGTTCCCCCGCAAGACATGTCATTTTTTTTCAGGGTTTACATCTTCAAAATCTGAACTGTGGTTTTATCTTTCCAACATACGACTCAGAACTGAAATCATCCTTAGGAGTAACCCATAAGGTGCGAGTGCTTTTGTAGGCGACTGTTGCATTGAATAAATACAGCTCATATTTTGATGCCTAGGTCAGTTTTGTAGGTTTCTTGTTCACTGGACGGAACTTTTAGGAGTCCTTCAGAATCTTGCAAGAATTTTTTTATGGAGCTAAAGTGCAAATATTAAACTGAGGTTAGCTAGGAAGAAGTTATTAGTAACTGCTGCTGGAACAGTTTTGCACATTGCAACTTAGCTGACTTGTATCAATTACTTCTATTTTTGGGTTGGCTGTGAGTTGTGTGTTTTTTTTTTTTTCCCCCCTCTTTTCAATTAATCAACTGATTTGATTAATCAACCCTCTTCTGAAAAGAACCACCACCTATTCACTTCCACCAAATAACCTCCCTTCTACCCTTCTTATTTATGAATATGGAAGATACCTACTGGGTAGTCAAGACTAATTAACATATTTTTCCTTATCTCAATACTAAATAAGTCCTGAAGTCCTGACACCTTTAATATTAATGAGAGGGATAGCCAGGAGCATGAAGTTCTGAAGGAATTATCCCACAGGCTGTCTGGATACTGTTATACTGTTTTGGGGCAGAAATATCCTATTTTCAACTACAGTTGTAGAATAATAGGTGATAAAATCCACCTCTAAATGTTGTTTTTTGGGCTAGTTCTGTGATGGAGGAACAGTTAAATGACTGCATGTGTTCTTGAATTTCAGCTGCTGCATTTTTCATCACCTATGAGAATGTGAAATCTGTGCTGCACCATGGCTCTACATCTTACTTGACTCCAGCAATGCACATGGTGGCTGCCTCCCTTGGGGAAGTGGTAAGAAAAGTTTGTGTGTTGTGTCTGTGGGAGCAGAGGAAACCATTCAGTTAGGAAAACTGTATTATTTTTTGAGTACTGACAGTCTTTGTTCTTGTGACGGTTCTTACACAAGTATTACTTATTCTTTTTACTGAAGTGTTGGCACTTGTAGGGATTGTTTCAAAAGGAATAAATGAGTTGGTGACAATCCTTAGTAGGCCTATTGGCTGACCTTGAGAAGTCAGTAGATAGTGGAAGTGTGCCTTGTTCAGAAACGTGAATACGCTTTCACGTTGTAGCTGCTGTGTGTCAGTGTTCAAGAAAGGATTTTACAGCCTTTCAGCTTCGTGTGGGGTGGTCATGGAAAGGATTTTTATTTTAAAAATAGCCAGGAGACAATGATCTTACATGTAAAGTAGGTGCTGTCATCTGAAACCCATCCGCCTTGATGCATAAGAACCAGGGTTAACTAATTAATATTCATCTCCCTCTCCTTCCCTCCAGGCATTCACATTCAGCCAACACCGTTTACCAACATGTTTTACTGTGTTTATCAACAGACTCCCCGAGTTGATATACAAAGTGATGTGATGGGATAGGGCAACTGGCGGTTGTGTAACTTCGTTTGCCCAGCGGTGTGTAATGCTCTCCTGATGGAGCCTGTCTCCGTGGGGTGTCATGGTTGATCTACTGAAGCGTTTTCCCTGTGGGATAGACATCTGTGTATTTTAGTAACAGCTTTTCACATGGTCTCTCTGATAGCTGTAACCCTTAGTTTAGTGTCTTGGTTGGGTTACTGCAGGATAAATGCATATGTAAGTAATGAAAATAATCTCTACATACAAGCTTTTTGAAAACTTTCTTCCTGCTTTTTGGAGAAGTTGCTGTGTTTCTTATCCATTAAATCCATTACTGTGTTTATAGCTAGTTCTGCCAGCGCTGTCTACCTCTGTTTCTGATAGCTGTAACCCTTAGTTTAGTGTCTTGGTTGGGTTACTGCAGGATAAATGCATATGTAAGTAATGAAAATAATCTCTACATACAAGCTTTTTGAAAACTTTCTTCCTGCTTTTTGGAGAAGTTGCTGTGTTTCTTATCCATTAAATCCATTACTGTGTTTATAGCTAGTTCTGCCAGCACTGTCTACCTCTGTTCTCCTGCTTTTTGAGTGTTTCCTGGCACTGCAGTGATGAAATGGGGTGTAAATCACTGTGCCTCCCCAAGTCTATTGGGGGAAAATGGACTGTATGAAACTAGCTTTTCTGTCTCTTTAGTAACTTGACTTAGCCCATGATGTGGGACAGCTCTCCCTGCTCTCTGTGATTTCAGCTGTGATTCCCAGGTAATTTTTATTCTTCTGTGCAAATGATAGTGATTAGATTGAGTGGAACTTAGCCACGGAACTTAAATTAACCTACCAAGCTCAAGAAGATGGGTGAATGCAGTGCTTAGTAACCACTCTGGCAGTGGTTATAGGCAGGTGTAGATGGAAGGTCATAGATTTAGGGCTGGGTGGGATATATTTGTGCTGCTGCCTCAGGTGGATTCTTTGATCTTGATAAGAGCTATCAGGTTATGACTCCTAACTTAAGGCGATGCGGAGAACTTTTGTCCATGGAAATTCCGTAAAGGCAGTTAGAGATCAGCAAAAGGTCTTTCACTGCTATGGCAGTGCACAGCCCGTAAATTCCTTGTTTGCCTGATATCTCATGCAACAGCAGTTGTATGTTTTAAGGGTCTCAAGGGCTGTTTCAGGATCAATTAAAATGATGACTAGGCTCGTGAAGAGGTGCCAGTCCTCTGTCATAAAATCCACTGGAATAAAGGTCTCCTCTTTCATGAGTGGATTATTTATAGTAAACTTTCTCTGCCTGTGAGGGTTCTGTGAGAAAAGTATGACCGGGTTATTTGATCAGCAGCAGCCAAAGAACAGTTGGCTACAGATGACTCCTTGCATGGTTACAGGTTCTGCTGCCCTTTTTTTTCCAAGGTGGTCTGTAGTCTCGTGACCGTTACAGCTCAGGCACTTAACTGCTTTCATTTCCAGGCTGACTAACGGGTGCAGCTGTAGCTAAAGGGGTGCTCAGGGGTGTCTCGTGCTTGGCCCTCGCCACTCTAAGGCGGGAGAAATGCATAGTGATAACCATTGAAATTGCAACCTGACTTTATGGTGAGGAGACTGCAGTGTTGTAACAGCCCTTTTCCAGCTAATAAAATTCTGCTTTTCGTTAGCCTTTCTTCTCTTGGTGTGGTGGGAGAACTAATCTGTAAAATAATTGAGATAGGCATGTAGAGATTTGCTACAACAAGCTTGTGATAAAAATAGCACAAAGGCAGATCTGCTCGCATTTGTTTATGTAAAGTCTTAGCTGATCGATAGAAATATATAAACTATTCCAAATTGCATCAGGGTGAAAGTTATAATTATAGTTTTATTGATTAGTCATTAAGTTTTAATCGCAGCATAACCACTGGGACTATTATTTTGTCAGTAGGTTGGTTTTTTTAATACGTACTTTTCTTCCTTTGTATGCTTTAGTAATTACTATGATATAAATTGCTTTTAAATAATAAGCCAAAGACTCTGACACGTTAGGATTCCCAAAGCATCTCTTTGCACTTCCAAAATGTCTTTTTACAAAGTAGAGAAATTAAGATTTAGAGCAAGAAACTGATGTTGGATTTCTAGGTTTGCTGCTCCTTCACTGATGAGTGCAAATGAGTTAGCCACCTTCTTGTGCATCAATAAAATGTGTGTATGTGCTGAGCTCAAAGGTATGTTAATGCTGACTAATCTGCCTTTTGAATTTGACCCAATGAAAATAAAAAATTATGTGAAGAGGAAAAAATGCAAAGGTTGCATCAAGATATGTTGAAATATATGGAAGAAATTGGTCAAATTGGAGCTCTTTTTTAACAGTCACTCTTCTGTATTGTTTGCAGACTGTGTTAATATATGGGAAACACAGTTCCCTGGAACAGTTTTGGTCCAATTTCCCAGTTCCAGGCAGGAGGCACAAAACCAAGCAGTAAAAAAGCAGTGGCTGTAGCATGGTTTGTGTTGGGGTGGTGGTGGTTTTTCTTTTTCTTTTAGGCAGGAGGAATGTAGGCAGCTAATCTCACCTCCCAGGGTGAGATAAAGGCAAGTACATACAAAATCTGACCCTTTTAAACATAATTATTTTTTCCTACAACTGAATCTTGCTGTATAGGGTCTCTATCCTATAATACATGAAAAATTACTCACAAAGACACAGCCCAAACTCTAGAAGACAGATATGTTATCTCTTCAAGCAAGAAGAAAGTTGAAGAATGCATGAGTTACTGGTGGGGGAAAACCCCTTGTTATACCACTTGTGTAACTGAAATTTGGAGATAGTAAACATACTGCATCCAGGACTTTGGAATTTTTCATCCTGACTCTACATTGCTCGGTATGTTTAGTCTGCCTGTATCTTTACAGTGAGCTGCCAGATGTGCTTGGAAAACATGATACCATAGGGAGTGGAAAGGAAAACCAGATGTTCTAAAATTTTGCTTTTAATGTTCTAAGGCGGTGCAAGTACTCTGAGGAGGAGCAGTATTTTTAATCTCCTAGTGCCCATTTTAAATAGGAACCAGGTGGGTCTTGTAGATCCAGAGTTAATTGTACAGCTCCAGATTGACTTGTACATCATGTTTTACATCAGTTTAATTATGACAGTGTGCACTATTAATTAACAAAAAACTTTGATAAAGAGAAGTCCCCCTCTGGGCCTCCCCCATCAGCCTCCTGCAAACTTGGTTTATGGGACAAGTTGAAGATTTGTCCCAGTTTGACCGATGAGGTTTCCTTTGCGAGTGCCAAAGTGGTTGGATTCAGCACAGCTGATTTTACATCCTGCTGGCGTTTCCATGGAGGTGAGAATAAAGTCACTGGGGTCACGTTCTGGAAAAGAATGTGAAGCACTTCCAGAGTGCCTCACTCTTCCAGAGTGCTTCAGGATGATGGTGCTGGAGATATGTTGGTGCTGTGCAGTGCATCCCCAAGGCTGCCTGATCCCAGGTTACTTGCAGTGAAGCGGTGTGTCTACAGAGTGTGCTGTAGCACCAGAGGGAGTGTAACTCAGATCCTGAGAGCTGCCGGGTCAGATTAGTGACACTCTGCCTGTATTTGTTTGTTCGCTTGAATTTTTAGGTGATACAGCCATGGATGGTTTGATAGGGACTTCTCCCTTTGAAGATGATGGGTTTGGCTGTCCTCACCAAGAAGGATTTTGGCATAGCCTCATTTTTTTCCAAAATTTGAGAAGGAGGGACCTTGAGTCAATTTGAATTGAAACATCCCAAGGTTTGTCACTTCACTGGGGTGATGGGATCTTGTGGCTCCACAGGGCAATGTGAGGACAGGTATTTCAGGGTGAAATTCCAAGCTCACTGGTGTATTCCATTGTGTTGCCACTTAAAATACTGCTGTGATAAGAGCAAAGTGTGTGGTTCATCTGTGATTAGCATCTGACCCTCAGTATTAATAACTTAGGAATTTTTTTATCTGCTGTTGGGATGTGTCAGGTAGGAAAGCTTCTTTATTATCTTTCTGGGGAATTCAGATAGATTTCTCTACTGGTCCTAACTTGTTTCTTAGAAGAAGCAAGCCCAAATGCAAGCAAGCTTACACTTTACAAATCATGGTTCTGTAGAATGACATTATGAGAATACTTTTATTTCAAGTGCAGATTTTATATTATTTTAGGCTTGGCTTATTTTTCTGGGGGGAAAAAAGGGCATTTTAGATGCAATAGACAACATTGTGTTGTCTGTCTCTGTGACTCAGCCCCTTCTTCCCTCTTCCATGGCAGAATCTTTTGAAACAGTTAACTGGTTTCAGTTCAATAGAAGAACAGGAATCTCCAAAGGGTATTGGTATGAATTCCATGAGAGTAACTGGCTAGGTCAGAGGAGAAAGTTGCTGTTAATGCCCATTCTGAAAAAAAGGCCAGAAGCATGAGTCGGGCAAATCCATGGAGTGATATGAAAGT